TGAAACAGTTTCAATATAAGGACTTATCGAGTATCAACAATATTAAACCAAAACTCTTTCAGCAATATTTCCACCGTAATAAAAGGTATGATGGAACCAATCGCAAATTTATTTATGCACCAGCCTAATGGATAGCATCTCCCGGAACAGCGCTCGATGACAGTGGTACCTCTATCTCTCGCCCTCTCTTTCCACTCCTCACACCATCTTTCGATGCCACTGCCACTACTGCCACTGCCACTGCTGCTGCTGGTGCAGTGTGTCTGTAGCCCGCTATCAGAACGACGACAGCATCGTTTCTCCCACTTGTGCTCCCCTCCCTGGAGCCAACAGTTAACGTCACCAAAAAAAATCCCCACAATCGATTGGCGCTGCTTTCCACTGCGCCCACAATCACCAGTGGCAGAGGAGTTGGCAGTAGCAGCGGCAGAGCAGCATGGCAGCGGCAGCAGCAGCCATCAGTGAGGTATTCCTTGTTTTTGTTCTTGTTATTGTTTTTGTGGCGCACTGCAAACTATCTGTCGCTTTTGTTTTACGATTCCTTTTGGACTTGATGATCGTCAGCGTCGCAGTCGCAGTCTCTGCCGCAGTCTCTGCCGCAGTCTCTGCCGCTGCATGCCCATTGGCATAATGAAGACATATACAAAATAAGGTGAGGCAGTCCTATTTAATAGATGCTTCGGCAAGTCTTGGGCCTTTGCATGCAGGACTCACAATCGTTTCAATCCTATAAGAGAGACAACCTGACCTTCTCTTAACATACCTTGAGCATAATCGTGTTACTGCTTGCTGCATGGGATGTTTGTTTGTCTTTCCCACTGCCGTCGCGGCTCCTGCCACAGCTCCTTCCACTGCCGTCGCCGCTGCAGCTGCAATCTCTGTGTAATATTTTATTTTCAATTCGCATTTAGTGCAGCCCTGGCAGCATCTAAGGGAGCAGGAATAAATTGTATCTGACAATTGGCAATTGGCCTATCGGACCGTTTGATAGTGTTCCAGAACCAGAACCAGACGCAGGCCCCTTTCCCATCCCTGTATCTATCCCTGTCCCTATCCCTTTCCCGATCCCTCTTCCCATTCCAATGGCAATCCAAAAGCTTGCCAATAAATCCAGCAGGAGGCGTGGGCGTTTGCCCGACCGCCAGTTTATGCTGAATCACGAATTACATTAGACAAGGCTGGGGCTTTGGCTGTGCCACTATTCCGATGTCCCAGCCGATGTCCCGGCATACAGTGCCTGCCAATTGGATTATCACATTTGAGGGCCGGGGCTTTGTGAGAACCACTACCGACTACCGACCAAACCGTGCCGTGCCGTGCCGTGCCCGTGCCGTGCCCGTGCCCATTGGCAGTGCAGTCGCTGACAGTTTTCATTAAAATTTCTCACGGAGCCGGCCAAGTGCGTGTGGCATGTTCGGAACAGCTCCATCAATGCCACAACCACATCCCGCTTCTGGCTCCTGGTCGGGAAATCGAAAGTCGGCAGTGCAGTGATAAATGTCAAATCAGCTGCCGAGTGTCCTCCTCCTCGCTGGACGGTGGCGTGAAATGCTTTTTAAGCACTCACATGGCTCCGGACGCATTTACAAGAGATGTACGGAACAGGCGAGGACGGGGGGCCGGCTTCTGAGTGGAACCCAATGTCCATATCCTTGTTGAGGGCACATTACGAGCAAACAAAAATTTGCGCTGTCAACTAAATGTCAGAAAAATGGTTCGGCATCGGCACTCGCTGTGAACGCTGGGAGCATCGTTGGAATCTCCTTGCTAGTGCCGTGCCACTGTCCCCGGCACGCACGCACTTGATCAATCATGCGACGCCATCGATGTGGCCCAGCTGGAGGATGACGATGTGAGTCCGGATGGGGATGGGGGTGGAGATGGTGCTGACAAGTGCGCTGCTTGGTATTTGCATTGATGACAACTACACGTCCGCAGACGATTATGGAGCACCTTGGATCCAAACCCATCCCCAAGCAGACTGCAGACTGTCCCGAAAAGTCTGTCCTCACCTTGCACTCGTCGCATATTAATAAACCGCTCTGCCAGACATCGATAATAAATCGAGTGCCATTCATCTTGGCCCGACGGCAATCGACAGACATTAACCACCAGACCAGGCGCTTCCCGCTTGGAGGTTGGCGGCTGGCGACTGGCGGGGCTCAAAATAAAAGCGAAAAATTATATGTCTAAGGCAAATATTGGAAAGCGACGGCCAAATCCAAACAAATGTCTGAGCTTTTAACTGGGATTATCGGCGCGTTATTTATGCATCACCATTTCTCTTGAGCTCAATAGGCGGCGAGGCAGCTGTCTGACCGCAGCATCTGCTCCTCCAATCGTTAATTTAAACAAATGTCGGGACAACAAATCCCTGGTTCTAAATCGAGTTTCTCCTCTAATCGGCGTTCGAGGGAAGGGGCGGAGGGGGCTATAATTGGGACTCTTCGATGTTATCACAGTAAAAACCAAGTAAGTATATGGATCTGCACATGTGAGTTACTCTCTTTGCAGCCTATTTAAACAACCCGAACCTACCGTGAGGATATGCGAGCAGGTTCTGAAAAGCTGGAGTTACTACATTAGACGCTTATTAAGTAGTTTTGTAATAGCAGCACATAGTCATGATTCTGAGAAACAATCTGAACAAGTTCAGATATCTATGCTAGTTCCTGCCCCATCATCAGAATGCGCGACAAGATTATTCTCTTCATAACTCGCTTTGACAGACGTCTGGGCCTGGGCCTGGGCCTGGGTCCGGGCCTGGACATGTCCGGCAACTTTCCTTTTTAGCGCTACGTGATTTAATGAACTGTTGATTTGGCAAATGCGCGATCCGGCTACGGCTCCGTCTGCTGCATATATTTACAGGCGTCAAATACGAGTGCGACGGGCAGGGCAGTGACTCCACCTCCAGCTCCAGCTCCAGCACATATTTGACTTTTGTTCTGTGCGTTTCAAACAGTTTTCCAATGCCTGCGACAGGATGAGGCGCGGGGGCTTTAAACGTGAACGCCGCGCCATTGGGGATCCCGAGCAGTGGCGGAATCGCAAAATTATTTAACATGTAAATCAAGGAAGAGGCAAAAGCGAAAAATCTAACAGAGCTCAGTGCGAAACTTTTTTAATTTCAAAGCAAATAGCGAAGCGGGGAATGGTGAATGGGGGGGGGGGGGGGGGGGGGATGGTATGGGAAGAGCGGGTCAGTTGTGTATGGTGGCAGTAGTCGGTGGGGGGTGGGCGAGATGCTGTTGCAGATTATGAGGCGGCAAAAGCAAAATCGCGATGATTATAGTCACGTACTTGCGCCACCGCCTCTCTATCCAAATCCAACCAACTTTCCAGCGACGAGTTGTAATTACATATGTGTATGTGTGCATGACGTGCATGTGTGTGTTAGCATGGAGTTGGCATCTGCATCAGTGTGCGTGCGTGTGTGTGTGTGTGTGTGTAGGTTGGCAAATATTGACGCTCAACTTTTATTTACGCACACAAATGTTCAAGTTTCCAACAAAAGATAAATATGAAGTATTCTAAATCGTTGCCATGCCGGGCTCGTCCTGCGCCCGGGCTCTCCGCGCACTCTGTGCCATTTACTCATTTAACTGACAGTTAAAATTACAAACGCTTATCATGTACCAGAATCATATCATACGGAATAATTTATTATGCCCAACGCTTAATGTAATTCCCGAGCAGCGAAATTTTCGCTTCACATGCCAAGCGACGAAAGTGCGGATGAGTCTGATGGAAGATGGGGCTTGGCGAGGAGCCCTGGGTTCGGGGTTCAGGGTTCGGGTTTCGTGGGGATAAGGGATGTCGGATGGGGCGGGCCACGGGGCATGAGGCATGGAGGTTGCAGATTGGGGCAGCCGGGGACCGGCAATTGAGGGGAGTACTGGCTTCGCTGGTTAACTGACTGGTTTTGTCTTTGAGATAGATGGGATAAAGTGCGCAACATACAAATGAATATGTGCGCACTCACACTTGCCCTCAAACACCCACACACTACCGTACATACACCCCATGGACACACACTCGCATTCAAACACACACACATGTATGTTAGTACATATGTATATGTACATAGTTTTATTTGCTCAGCTTGCCTTCGTTCATTTGAAATGCTCGCGTAATAGACATCCTGGATAAGGATAAGTATAAGGGTGTGAGTGTCGAATGACTGTGTATGTGTGTGCGTGTGTGTGTGCGCTGGTTTATGCTCTGCACCCCGAGGTTAATTAAGATTTTGCCATGCATTTGTTTGAGCAAATGGTGTTTGTGCTTGAAGAAGTGCGGATCCCGGTACCCGTGCCCGGATCCGGACCCGAACCCGGACCCGGACCCGGACCCGAACCCGGACCCGGACCCGGACCCATCCGAGTCAGCGAAATGAAAAAGTTTTATTAGTTGTAATCCCTAATTAAATTAAAATTGTTCGTTGTAATTAAATGCGGGCCAAACGCGTGATATATGATGAATGTTGAATGAGATTATTAGAAGCTTTTAGCCTGTCTAAGCGAGTGGCAGATACATTAATCATTTGCGCGACCCCACGTTTTACCAAAGGTGAAGGATTTTTGCCCCATTCATGGCCAAAAACTAAGTTTATGTGATAAGTGGATAATTAGTAAGTGGATTAATTAGTATACAGATGTCTCGAGATATCAACCTGTGCGTGAGGTATAATTATATGAAACTCAGGATGGTATCTCGTTTTCAACCATTCATCCTTGGTATTTTGCAAACCCATTAATAATAGACTATTTTGAGTTATTTGACAAACTGATTCGGTATATTTAATTTTTCGATCTATTGTCGAACATCAGGAGGCTCAGGAAGGTGCAAGTCGGATGAAGCTTCCCAGCGGAATCATCCTGCAGTCTACATATAACCATAGATTACGTGGCTACACACACTTGATACATATGTAAATCTAGTAGTATGTATCTCTGATCAGTCCAAATTTGATATTGGCCATAAAAATATCTTTATGGGAAGACTATATTGAATAGATCTTTTTATGTATATTGCATTTTCATTTAATTGATTCATTACGTTCCTGCTAGTTTCATTAATGTTCTGAAATATTTTCATTCCGCTTTGGGGCATAAATAATTTGTGATTAATTCAATTTAGCAGGCAGTGTGTCTTGTCATTCAGTGGAAACTATAATCAATGGATAATAAATGGCTGGTTCTCTGCAGTTCTGGGACTATGAATCACTATATATGAATCCTAGAGATCATTATAACACTGGCAATCGAGTGTAAACGCCCACTACCAGAGCATTACCACGAACATAGGGATCCAGTTGGACCAGCTGGAGAGGCTCAAGATGGTATTTCTTGAGCAGCTCCATCTCGGCTATGAGGGCCATCTTCGTGGGCGCCTTGTCGTAGATGCTCTCCGCATACAGGAAGATGGCAAAGTGTCCGTTTGGCTTCAGAAAATGCCGGGCATTCAGCATGAGTATACGAGCCTGCTCTGCTTGCTGCAGGTTACAGATGATCACATCGATTTTGTCGGTGAGCTGCTTGTAGTACTTGTACGGTGCTGAGGGGTCCTCGAGGATGGGCACAACGTTTGGACGGCGCTCGGACAATGCTGAGAGAGGTCGTACCGCCCAGGGTCCGGGCTCCACGGCATACACCACTCCAGTCTTATCGATGATGTCAGAGATGTGGGAGACGGTCCGCCCAAGCCCAGCCCCAAGATACAGCACCTTCGAGCCACTCTTCAGGTATAAATCCTCCACTCCGCTCATGATGGCGGCGGCCAGATTGGATTGGAAGGGGGACCAGGTGCGAAACTCGCACCGCAGTCCACGGAAATCCGCCCTGAACCGATGCTCCTCGTAGTCCTGTTCGGGCTCTGAGGCATCTCCAGTGGCCTTGTTCCGAGTAAGCAGCTGAACGGAATCGTCCTTGTTACGTGCCAGAAATATTCCATGGTAGCGATGCTGCTCTACGACGATGTTACGAATCTTTGCGACGGACTGAGCCTGCGTCTCGATCTTGGTTAGGAGCGGCTTATCTCCGGTTTCTGCATCTTTAACTGGAGACCCCACTGCGGGCGCGGCAGCCTTTGAGGACTTTGGGGCCTTTTCGGGGACGCGGTTACCATCGCCCCGTTTCCCGCCCTTTGGGTGTTTCTTAGAGTGCTTTTTAGGCATTGAACAACTCCAAGTAAAAATGTAACTTGGTTCTTACAATCTAAAGTCAATGCTGTCTAGAGTTGTTTATAAAGAATTAAACAAAGCACGGTTGATTTCTCTGATATGACAGTAAGCTCTGGGTAATTGCTGGAATTCAAACAATAATGACTCAGTAATGCAGTAAAGAACTCCGTAATGCAATGTATGATACGGATGATAATATCAAAGACACCCATTTTAAAGCACTGCGCAAGAGGATCACGTATCAGGATCAGAACTAGATTTATAACTTTATAAAATACTAGGGGCTAAGACCCTGCGCGGACTTTGAATATAAATATCTCAACCAAATCCCGTCTCAGTTGCTTAGGCAACAAAAAAATACCCTTTACATGTTTTTGAATAAAATATGGGGCGACGAGGACTCGAAATAATTAGAGATAAATGCTAGAAAAAATCAATTAAACATTGTATTTAAATTATTAATTCTGTTTGCAATGTCTGAAGACTTTGACCAATGAATTTTTTTAGATATTTATAGCCGAGCAACAGTTTTCATTATTTAGATTAATTTCCAAAGAGCAATCTCAGGCAGCACTCAAGAGTAATCAATAATATTTTTCCTTTTTGAATGTATAGTTTTAAGCTTATTTAATGCATTTAATATATTTATTAATGTATTCTTTGAATTCATATATACAATTTGTATATTAGTCGTACGAATAATTTATTATTATTTTATTATTATGGTGATATTATTTCAAGCGCTGGGAATAATATGTATGTATAGCTCGCTCTCTCCTGAAGAAGAGAAGGGCCGTTGGGATCCAGTCGATTCGCCATGTAAATGTATCCGCAAATGCTGCACATAATTTAACAAAGTGAATTGTACCGCAGCATCAGTGGCAGCAGCACCAACAGCAGCATCACCAGCAACAACATCTGTGGCAGTGGCAATAATAATAGCTCGGGAACAACAACAACAGAACAGAAACATTTCGACTTCATTTTGTTGTGGTTTTCTTTTGTACATAAAACTTTTTCGGGCACTACAATTTTTAATGCCCTCTCTGACATTGCCCCGACCTGAGAGTATGAGAGTAGGCGGGGGTCGGGAGGAGAAGGGTTCGGGACTGGGGCTGGCCGTGGAGTACAAGCAAATGAAACTCAAGTGCATGTAGCCTGGGCCTGGCCAAGTGGCACAGAAAAACGAACAGTGAAAAAATGTAGCAGCCGAAAACAAAGGAAAAACGAAACAAAAATAATAAGCCAGCAATGGAATAAAACAGGAAAAGAAAAGCAAAGCAACGAAAGAAAACAATAATAATACACAAGGGAGGCTGTGGCATGGGGCGTGGGGCGTGGGGCAAACTCAAATTTTTAATAAACTTGCCGCGGCTCCTGGGCTTTTTTGGTTGCCGCTGCATACTTTTGGGCGCAGCGACAATCGCGGCCATTGTGGCAGCCTACAGTCCCCTCATTGTTGCTCTTGCCTCTCTTATTTACGAGTATTTGCCTAGGAATGTGGCAAGCGGCTACGTCTAGGGGCGGCTTGCCAAGTGGCTGCCTATAGAGGCATCCCCATCCCCATCCCCATCCCCATCGCAGCCACAGCCACAGCTCCAGTCCATCCGCATAATGAGGCACCCAGCCAGACGACGGCAGTTCATGAAAAATCAAGAGCCAAGAACTTTTAGCTGCTCCTGCCTGGCTCCTGCCACTGCCACTGCCCCACGCAACAAAACTTTTGCTCAATGTAAATTTGGCCTGATCATGTTTGAAGTTTATCCGCGAGTGGGGCTGTGGGAGGCGGGTTCTGTGACCACCTACACCACACGTCTGATGCAACTCCATTAACCCGCTGGGTCCCGAGATGACACTCATATGCCAGACCATCAAACACTGAGGGAAAATAGCAACCTCAAGAAATATCTCCAGCAGGGGTTCCGAAAACTGTATAATGGTGTTTTCCCATGTGATCAAATTAAGTTAATAGATTTAACTGACATTGCCACAACCTGAGAGTAGAAGAGTAGGCGGGGGTCGGGTGGGAAAGGGTTCAAATATTCCCGAATCCTTCTTATAGCTAGCATAGCGACAGTAGCCTGAAAACTATTTATTTTGAATGTTCCAGGTAAATCAGATTGCAATGGAATAACAATCGGTAATATTGAAGTCTTTTATCATACATTCCCATTTATTTGAAAGTCTCCTTAAGCTGAATACATGTCCCTCTTGTGGATTCGTGGAGGATTTTCTGTTCGATTCGTTTCTTGTTCTTAGAACAATCAAGTTTCTGCCAGTGTACCCCAAGCCAGAAACGCTTAGTCTCAGCAGCCGAGAAGATTCTATCCCAGCGCGGCCAGGCCAGCACGTGCTGGGGAAAGCTGCCCCGGCAAAGGCACAAGGGGGGGAATGCATTTTTAACATACCCGCGCGCATTTTCCGCAAATGGCAACAAACGGCGCCAAGTTTAGCAGCTGCGCGGCCTTCGGGCGCTGTAAAATGCAAAATCCAAATGCTCTGGCCACTCTGCCCCTGCCCCTGGCCCTGCCATGGCTGGCTTTTGGCATTACATTTTTAGCATATTTGTTGTAGTCCAAACACGTGACAAGTGTGGCTGTGTGTGCGAGTGCCATTAGTTCCTTGGTCATGCCCAGGCCACGGCAAACTCACGTGCCATGTTCGGATATGCAGGTTTGGCCCAACAAAAATGATAAAAAATGTGCAACTTTACCGCAAAGGCGACAACAACGGGAATAGATGGCGCCTGGCAGAAGGGAAATGGCTGCGGTCATATATTTGCCATTGCATCGCCATACTTTTGTCCACATTTTAATCAATTTTTCAGGCTTTTAAGTGTGCAACATGCGAGGGTCTCCCCAGTGGCATGCCACTGCATGCACAGCCCCATTAATAACCAAACTCTACCTGAATGATATACATACTTGTTATGGGTTCTTTGTTCTGATTATATTTTGAGGTTCTTAACTCGCCTTTATGTAATGCACATTTTAGAATAATCGACAGTCGATCTGCATACTTTTAGAGGGCCTCCAGCAGATACTCAGAATACTCTGCCTACTTCTGAATTCTGCAATGATGCATTAGGTCTTTTTTAGACTTCAAATAAGCTGCAACCTCCGTAAACCAACTTCATTCTAGCTTCCATTTTAGAGCAACATCGCAATCGCCATAGTTTGCGATCTCACCTCTGGGGTCATGGCCGTGGCCTAGGGCAAATCCCTCGGGAAGGCAGTGTTTTTCAGGCCACAATGCCAGAAATTAAATAAATATGCTCGAATATTTGCAGTTTATAGCGATGTAAGTTGCGGGAAAAGTGTGCAAAATATTTTTGATAAATACTTGAATATTAAATCGGCTTAATGCGAGGGCCTGGCCGTGGTGGGGGCACCGTCACCTTGTGGACTCGTTGAGCTCATTAAGCCCATAAGCTTTATTGATTTTTAACAAGCCCGAAATGGCTGCGCCGTCAATTTACAAAAATTAATTATTGCCAGCCGAGCAGAGAGGAAAATGCATTTGAATTGATTTGAGTTGATTTTAATATCCTGTTTAAACTTTATCAGCAAAATTAAATTATCTGAGTCGAAAGCATGTAACCCATTAAGGATAAATCGGTGGCAGGAGTGTCTATGACATCATTATGGATTTGAAATATTGCTTTCGTGAACCCGCCAGAAGCATCGGAGCGACAGTGCCACAACAAACCACAGCACAACATTAACATCAGCCTGGCTGTCAGAAGCAAGTCGGGTACAGGACTTGGCTGTCCCTCCGAGCATTCGTATGGCCTTGCCACGCGCAGCATCTGCGACTCTGTGAGTGACTGATAACTGCAGCCGTTTCCCACTGGAAACCCTTGCCCTGCCTGCCCCCGAGCCCGTTCCCGGGCCCAGGCCGAGTACAACAAATGAAATCGATAAGAAACTAAGCGGCTTGCCGCTTGCCAGCGGAATTCCATTTCTTTTCCGCTGCAGCTTAAGCGATGCATTTTCCCGTCCAAAAGAGACAGACATGTGGCTAATAGGATTTCAGCGCCGCAAGAGGGAGGAGTCGCGGTTTTCTGGTTATTTTTCAATTGTCTACTTGGATGCACAAGGCCGCCGCCCGTTAATGCTGCAGTTGAACCTGCCACGCGCTAAGAAGCTAAGGTCGAAGCTTAAATGAAGGGATTTAGCCAGGCTGAACAAGGGCACAAACTTCGAAACACTGCATATAAACAGGTGAGGTCGGAAAACGTTGGTAACATTTCAATCGAAACGATATCGAAGTCAAAATTAAGCCATGATGCACGTAAATTGAGTAATTGAGTAAACCTCCGGCTATATAAAGTATTTCCATTTGGAATCGAGCCCTGCTATGCCATTACTTTGTTGTGCTTTACATGGAGCAATTTTAATCAAAGCCACAACCATTTAACATAACATAACCATAAAATACTGCTTCGTTACAGCATCCATATTCTAACATGCTCTGTTCGCTGTTATTGGTTAAAACAGTCTGTTAATAACTCTCCACTCTGTTAACTTAACAGCTGTAAACGGCAACAGTAGCTACAAAGGCTACAAAGCGACAAAGAAATAGAGCAAAGAGAGGACTAGCAGCAGAAGGCGCGCCCAGGACATTCGGCAGCTTTGGGGATGAACGAGCGGAAACGAAGCTGCTCCAGCAGCCTCAGCGAGACGGCGGCACTCCGCCGGCAATGGTCTGCCAACCATGTCCACGGCATCAAAGAGTTGCCACTCTACGCAGCGGCGCGGTGCAGAGCGGTACGAAGCGGAGCGGCTCGGTTCGGTTTTCTAAGCGACAACGAAAAAAGCGTCAAACCGGTCCACCAAAACCAAATGGCAGTTAAATAAAGCTATAAACTCATAGAGCTGTATGATCGTACAAGTATGTCCGATAATGTGTGTGTGTGCGAATGTATTTGTTGGTGTGTGTTTGTGAAATTATGCATTTATGCAAATGGAGCCATTGAAAAACAGCAACAGCGCCAGCAACCACAAGCAGAGCCAGAGTCAGAGCCAACTGACTGTTGCTGATGCACAAAACTCATAAATATTTCAAGAGCCAGCAGAACCGTGTGACATACTCTGTGTAGGTTTTAGATGTGTGTGTCTGTGTGTATGTGTGTGTGTGTGTGTGTTTGTGTGGGAGGGAGGGTGCACGAGAGTGTGTGTCATTTAAGCCAGTCAATGAAATGTTTGTTAATTATGTATGTGTATACATTACATTGCCATTAAGTAATTAACTCGGCTCCAAGCAGAGCTGTTTAAGTCTCTCACACGGTGTATGCGTGTGTATCTGTGTGTCCCTGTTTGTGCGCTCCATTTCTGTGTACTGCTGAACGAGTGTGTTTCTGCGAGTGTGTGCTTGACATTGTCTCCTTTGATTGGAAACATGTTGCGTATACGCCATGTTAACGTACAACAAATTGAGAGCAAATTGATAAGCCCAACAAAGGAAAGGGCAAATGCAATTGCTGGTGCAACTGGCACTCAAATTGGCAGTAGAAGTGGAAATGCCAATTGAAGCCACTCTGAACATGTCGATATTGCCATTAATTTGATATTTTCATTATAATTGCAAGACGAGAGACTCGAGAGATTAGAGCGCCTGCAGGCCTGTGCAGGAAGTCAGAGCAAAACAATTGTCAGAGAATTCAAATTGGAAAACTGTCATTGCGACATTCGACAGCCTCTCCGACAGAGTAGATTGTTGTCAGGCTGTAACTGAAATGTGAAAAGGCTATTCTGCATTTGATTTGATTTCGTTTTGTTATCTGTCTTGCAAGGCATTTTTCGGATTCATGTGCATGCGCATGTGTGTGGTCGCTCTGGGTGTTCTGGGAAATGCATTTGAATTGCAAATCATATTGCTGTCTAAATATTTTTATTGTCGTCCCAAAGCAGACTTGGCTCGATTTCTCTGACAGACACACATTCCATGGCTCAAATGATGATGCCGAAACTGCACTCAAATTATTCAATTAGCAGTTGGCCAAACTCTCTTCGCATATGGCACGGAACAACGGCTCGGAACAAGGCAATTTGGCCAAACTTTATATCTGACATTGACACTCCAACGAGTTGATTTGTTGCTGGCCAAATTGGTCTCGACTATGGTGATTGATATGGTTGGCATACTCGTATTAGAAAACGCTGAGCAACGAACAATCAACTTTGTTTGTATAACCTTTTTATAGATTCGTAAATGTACACTCATTTCACTAAAATATTTCATAGACATACATGCCAAAATAAACGTTTATGATACATAGGTAGGTATTTGTTTTTCCTGTTTCATTAGTTTCATATTCTGCTTCATTATTTGTAAAGGGTTTTCTCCTCTGCTCACACTCCTTCCTTGTTGGAGTCCCGTCTTTTGTAAGCGATCTCTGACTGAGGTGTAAGTCAAAGTTGGAATAATACAGTACTAAACGATTTTGCCTTAAACAAATAAATTGTTTTTAAGTTAATTTCAGACAATATTTACTCAATATTTCAATATTTTTAGCTATCATGTACAATATTTGTATTCTGTTCAGTACACAAAGAATGCGTTCAGAGCTAAATTCCTTAAACAAAGGCCAAGTTAGATTACATTTATTGAAACTTACATTCACATCGATTTGAACTTGGCCAAATAATCAAATATTTAACCCATTCACTTGTGTTTATTCCTTCCTTCCGTCCGTTCGTCTGGGCTTCCTTCCTTCCCCGCCCTAGCCCTGAATCGTAAATTATTCAGGCTCGAGCGAAATTAAATGGATATTTTTAGGAGCAAACATCCGCTTGTGCCCCATCCCACTTCCATTTCCATGGATCGTCTGTCTGCTCCGTTATTAAAAATAAAATGCCGTTCCGCAGCAAAAGTTTTCCACGGTAATTTTAATAAACGCGTCAATGAAACCAAAACAATGACGACAGCATCAGCAACAGCAACAGCAACAATAACAGCCACATTAACAAGGGGCAACCTCCGCAAGGAGGGGGCGGGGCACGGGGATATGGGCGCACAAAAAAGAAGCCACAATTTGATTAGAGCATTAAAGGACTTTGTGCCACAAAGCCCGAATCGCCCTGACCTCGGACTCAGACTCGGATGTGTCTGGGACTCAGCCTGAACCTGAGACTGGACCTGGGCCTGGGCCTGGATCACAAAGTGGGGCAGGGCAGCCATGGGGAGTTTTTGGCTTCTGGCTGAGGCAGACAAAGTTGTAGCAACACCAACAAAAGCACTGTCTGCACAATTTTTGTATTTTTTCCGCTTTTGTAGATTGTTGTTCTTGTTGCTGCTGTTCGACCATGGGAAATTTTGGAAACTGTCAACGTTTAAATAACGCTGACAATGACAATAAACAAATGCAGTGGCCAAACAGAATGGAGCCAGCAAAAAATAGAAGAAGGAAGTTTAATAAAAAAGCAAAACTGAAACTTTTTAAAAGTCAGACACGTGCGGCAGCAAGAAAGAGAGAGAGATATAGAATGTGTGTAAGAGAGAGAGAGAGCCAGCGGAGATGAATGTTCTTTGGACTTTGACGCCAAAAAAGTTTTCAAATTTAATAACCTTAAAACAAAAAGCAAAAAAAACACGAGTTCTTCCTTCTTTTTGTAACAAGGATTCTCCATTTATTTTTCTAGCTCATTGGCCGCTGAACTGTCAATGGCATTTATCGATATCGGAACTATATGTATGTAGATATACGGCCGCCTGTGTAATCATGAGCGACGCGTAGGGCGAAAAGTTGGCTTCAAAAAGTTTGTACTAATAGAAAATATGGCCGGCCATTGAGTGTGGCCAAAGAGCAAAGTTTCTGGCTGGATTCTCCGCCCCATTCCCATTCCTCGGGGCCAGGACGAACGGCCTGAGAGCAACAAGGAATTTAAAAGGCGACCACCACAATGGACTATGGCCGGTGGCTGCTGCAGCTGAGCGTCCACATGCTCCTGGGTAAGTCCAAGTTAAAGCCGCAGCCAGACCAAGCTCCCAGCCCAGCCCCTAGTCTGGGACGGGACAGGCCGGGGCTGGAGCTGGTCCGAGCCAAGCCGGTTATAATAATGAAAATATTTGAAACTTTTCATTTTATTGCCTTTTGCTTTTAATCCTTTCACAAGCCGTACCAAACCTTTTTTACGACACAGTCCACGATGTCGGCAACTTTGTGGCTGCACACCAACACTCGCTCACACACACACACACACACCAGCACGATGGAAAGTCATTTAGGCATTTCCGTTTCCGCTCGTCGCCATTGTGCATTTGGCCGCCGTGTGACTCGAACTTGGAGCTCAACTGAAACTCGAAATTAGCATAGCAATAAATGTGTTTGTCTGGGTGTCGCCGCCTCCGACCCGACCCGACTCGACCCGCCACGACCCAGAACCAACCTGATCTGACCCGACCCGACCCGACCCGACCTTAACCACATCAATTTATGTTAATTTTATGCCACCGAAATTGTTTTTTAAATACACTTTTAATTATGGCCCAATGAAGGGAAAGAAACGAGCTGAATTCCGCATCGCAAATAAAAATAATAATTTCAATTAGCTTTTATGCGTCTGCCGCAGATAAGCCAAGTGTTTTTTCTCCCCTGTCCTTCGCCTGTCCTTGACTTGGAGTAGAGTTGTCTGTCCTGCCTCTGGCTGTCCCACACTGCGGATGAGCGATATTTGAGGATGAGACATTCGGAGGAAATAGATTTTATTGAACTCATTCGCTTTGCGTAAATTACATGGGTAATTGAGAATTTACATATAATTCCAGCTGAAATGATAGGCAAGAGAAGGGAACAAAATTATTATGCAAAACGAGAAAATGAATGCAGAAAATGGAAATTGAAAGGGGCTTTCATCTGCTTGAATATTGTGATAAAACTGTGCTCTTTTGAGCTGGTTAAAAATATATTATATTTTTTATTGATTCTTTTTCCCATTAAATTTTCCATTTATGGAACTCATTATCTATGCAAACCAATTTCATTACCAAGGAAATGTGTCAACAAACGATGCACAAAATGTCCACAGTTTTCGCTTTTTATGCCATGCATTGTTTGAGGAGAGAATTCTCCACTGGCAAGGACAAGGACAAATGCCCCGACAGTCAACAAATTTGCATAAACCAAACATAAATGCGACAATTCCATTGCGGAGTACGCCTTAAAGGATTTGCCCCACACACACACACACACACACACACACCCCAGTATGAAGAGCAGGAAAACTGTGAAAATATAAGTGTGTCTCGCTATATTTTATTTGCACTTTTCTTAAATTTATAGACGCTCTGAAAATTCAGTGCAAACACAGACGGGGACTGGGACTGGGGGTGGGGGTGGAGGCTGAGGCCATTGCCTGCTATAAAGAAAATAAATATTTGCGGGGCAGGCACTCGCTCACCCGCTTCGAGAGCCATAAAGTTTATTTAAACAAATTGCCGATTTTACAAGTGTCTTCAATTTTAGTAAGTGTGCGTTATGAGCCGGCTCCCAGGCTCCCAGGCTCCCCGGCGTAAACGAAACGATGTCTCCGCCTTGTTTGCACACACAAATTACACTTGAACGGAGGATGCAAAGTACCTCCCGGGGAAACTATAAGAGTTTCGACTGTCATGGGCCAGAACTGACACTAATATGATGCCAGGCAGCGGCAGACAATACCGACAAATCCTCTTGCCAAATCCAAGCCGCAAGTCGAACTCGAAGTCAAAGTCGAAGTCAGAGCCAAATCAACTTTAAACTTTCACGCGTTTGCGTAGCTCCGCTCCCGATTTAGCTCCCGATTCAGGTCTTCCGATCCGGCTTCGGCTGCATACCAAATGGGATTTGAACAAAAAACCAACCAGAAACAACAAAAGCTCCGCATCAGCTAAGGAATCTCAGCATAGTAGTTGTCCGGGCAAAGGCAACGGCAACGGCAACGGAGCCATGCTTTTTGCTGCCCCACTTGCCCTGCTCATGTTGCTCGTTTAGATGCTCGATTTTTTGTTGCCTCTGCTGCTGCCGCTGCTGCTGCTTCCGCTTCTGGCTGAGATTAGCATCTTTATTTGTGTTTGTTTGCCGCAGCGCATCCAACGCAACTTGCCCCCGACCAAACTAAAACAAACTCCAATCCCAGCCACGCCCTCCCCTGCCCAAACCAAACCGAAGCGAACCCAATCCAAACAAACCCTGCCATGGACTTGAAGTCTCCTACTTGTCGTTGTCGTTGTCGTTCTCGTTGGCCCCGCATTTGTATGCAAATTATAGACGCCTGGCCTGGTCTCCTTGTTCCCACCTTCCCACAGCTGCTTTCATATTCCTTCTCCAGTGGGCCAGTGCAGATTTGTCTGTTCGAGCGTTTATCGTCGGCGGCAAATGTTTAAAGCGGATTTGAGCTGAAGCCCCATAGTATGGGCAAAAATAATGTTGTCCCGCTTATGGCCAACGGAAAAGGCGGGCATAAATAGGAGGATGCTGTTCCGAAAGGCATCTTTGCTCGTAGATAGTGGCACATTCCAAGCAGATGGTAAGCACCCTCAGAGCTGAAGCTGATTAAAAATCCAGGGTCATTTCTTGGGCAGAGATCTTTATATCACGAAACTTAGAAGTCAATGTCCTACAGCTAATGCAGACTCTTTCTACAAAGAATACACGCAACAAATCATTGGCTTCTTTGCCAACTGGGATCTATTGTAATCTCCTTGACTCAAACACACTATATCTCATCACACATTTCTATACGAAGGGAATCTGTTAGGCTTCGATCGAAGAAATTAGAGACGCTCTGTGAGAAGCAAACGATCGTTGATTCTGGATTTGAGTTGGGGGATCCCTCTGAATCTTCTCACGAGTATAGCTCTGAAAAGCTATTCCTTTTTGCTCCTTGACTTTCATTAGAAATGGCAAAGATATCGGCTTTGGTTGAGCGGGTTCGAGGGGGTTTCCAGACCGCAAGCGAACAGCTGCGCCAGAGTCAGACGAGCAAGACGAAACGTGCAGGCAGACACAGACAGAGAGACACTGGGATAGGGAGAGAGAAAGAGAAAGAGAGAAACTACAGCCGCCACAACAAATTGATGTGTTGCCGTAGCTGTCTCTGTCTCTGTCTCTGGTTCTGGTTCTGTCCCTGCGTCTAAGTCAGTCTCTGTTCCAGACTACGTCCGTGTCTCTGTCTCCGTCTACGTCTCCGCCTACGTCTACGTCTCCGGTTCTGGTTGTTAGGCAGCAAAGTTCACTCAAGTGCGTTGATTGCCGTGCAAAAAGTTTCGTTTGTCTGTATTTGATGTACTTATTTTTATTATTTACATATACACGCAAAGACACGGCATTTGTTTGCATAGGTACACACCGACATACACTCGAACGAGAGCCGCAGCCGAGCCCAGGACGTGCCTTTGGCCGCGCAGGTGAAGTTTTCCTTTTGCTTTTCCTCTGCTGGAGAACTGCTGGAAAGCCTGTCATTAAGCTGCGGTTGCCGCTGCCATTTGCAAATGTGTTTTCCATTGTCGTCCTTGTTGCTGCTGTTGCTGTTGCTTTCGTTGTTCGTCTAGTGCTTTGACATGCTTCAAAGGACTCATGTCAGGATCAGAATCGAAATCAGGCTGCAATCGCTGCGACCGCTAGGCACTTTTGTCTGTTTGTCTATGGAAAGTTTTAGCAAGTTTCGTCTGCTCCTCTGCCCCTGCATCTCACAAATCCCGATGTTCTGCAATCAAACAGCGCTCTGGATAGGGACAGGGATAGCCAACAATTCGAAAAGGTTGTTGGCAGTGGTAGTGGTAGTGGTAGCGGCAGTGTCGAAAAACGAAAATAAATACTCGACTAAGCTGCCTTTGGCAATCGCAACTTTTGACATCCTTGCAAGTTATTTCAACTGTAAACGGCGACAAATTAAATTCACGAGTGTTGCAGTTGCAGTTGCAGTTGCCACTGCGTCAACTGTTGCTGCCTCTGTTGCTGTTACCTAATGCGATTTGGTGAAATTATGCACAAGTTGTCGGTTGCCGGCTGTCGGCTGTCGGCATCCACTTGCTTTCGTCTCCGGGATTGCTTGCTTATCATGCGGGACTGGGCTCCTGCAATGCAGTTGCAACTTCAACTGCAACAAGCCTTTGCCCGGATTATGGAAATTTCCACCAGCAACTTCTTCCAGGAAAAACGCGAAGGGCCTTCGGAGCAATAGGAGGCAGGAAAAACACCTAACCGCTACCACAGCAGCAGCAGCAGCAACAGCAGAACCCATTGCAGCTAATGATATTAACCATTTTTTCCGGCATTTCCTTTTTTCTCTCGCTCTGTCTGTTTGCACTTAAGAACGTTCCGCAAATTGTAAAAACCAGCTCGCGGTTTGTCCTTTTTCTTCTTGCTGCTCTGCCGGCTGCTGCTTTTGTTGGTGGCACCGTTTAGCTGGTTTTTGTTGCATCTGTCGTTGCCCCAGACTCTGCCCGTCTCAGCCTTAGAGCTGAGCATTTCTACAAGTTCATTCAATTAGGAGTTGTGCGTCGCTTTCCATTGTTCTCAGTTCCCTGTTTGTCTGTCTGTTTTCTCTGACTACTTTAATATTTAACATTTTCTTCTTGTGCTGCTGATGAGATTAAAATGTACCATTCCAAATAATTACTAATTTACGACCATGAATGAGGAAAAGATAACATAATTATTAGATCTTTACTTTTGTTTAAAGAACTAGTTAGAGATTTAATCTCTATAGTATATCTCTTTGGAGTATATGTATACTCTTGTCTGATTTTATAGACAACAATCAAAGTAAGCACTCTCAGACTCCGATCAAAGCTTACACAATACCCGCCCCCTCCCATTTTGCTTTTCCTTTTGCTGGTTTTAAAAAAATATACATACATACCAAATTATATATCTTTTTATTGCTCGGCAATCTCTGACATGCCATCGAGACCGGGTGCTGCTCGGCTCGGACTGGCTTAATGCCTCAATTTAAAGCAGACGAATGCAAAACATTTTCCATTTTCCATTTTCGTTTTCGGTTTTCTGATTTTTTGATTTTCTGATTTACTTTTTGTATACGTATACGTGTATTCCATATTTTTATGGCACTTCTCATCATTTTATCTGACGTTTTTCATCTCGTTGCATGGCACTAACCTTCTCTGCTCCTCTCTGCTCTGCTCTGCTCTGCTCTCCTCGGCCCCGCTCTGCCACCGTCTGGGTCCATGCTCTGCTGCTCTGCTGCTCTGCTGCTCGGTTGCTGGCGTGCGGCAGTTGTGCGACGCATTCAGTGTCTACGTGTGACTGACATCAATGTGCCACAAATTGTTGATTTTCGTGATAACGTGACATTATCCTGCAGCTATGACATAAGTGGTCACACGTTAAATTCGGTTAAGTGGTACAAAAACGGAAAGGAGTTTTTTAGGTAAGTACGCAGCAGCATCAAAATGGCATATTTGGGCATTGGGGCATTGGGGCGTTGGGGCGTTGTGTGTGCAGACGTGCTCTGGCCTATGCATGTGTTACAAATACAGTGCGTTATAGAACTATAGCAGCATAGGTTAAATAATGCAATATTTTTATCAAATATTTTAAGCATATTCTTAGAAGGGATTTATTTAATGGATTTATTCAAAGATTTTAATGATAATTAGTTCTTAGTTCGTTAACATACTTTTTTACATTTACTTTTTATATATCATTAATTTGTTGCCTTAATGTTTTCCCACACAATTATTGTAATCCCTGCCAATATTTTTCAATTGTTGAACAGTGAAAAGTATAGCTATTAAATATTTAGTAATCGTTAAAGTGTGTTTATTAACTCAAATCAAATGATTGACAAATATGAAACACGGTAATGTAAAATGAGAGCCACAAATTATACCAATTTTAAAACATTTACATAGTACGTGTAATTTAAATTACTAATTAATGAATTATTATCATAAATTTTAGTAAAATATGCAGTTGACAATTGAGAAATGTAGTCCGTTATTATTACAAGCAAACATGTTGAGGCCAACAATAAGTTTCATTCAATTTTTGTTGCTAAAATGTTGTATTTTTTACATACGTCGTATAGTTTTTTGACGCACTGTTTTGGCCATAATTTATGATATTTATTCCAGGGCGCAGCTGTCAGATGCATGTGGCATCCGTGCCACAATCAGGGGTTTGCCTCAGAATGCTTTTGCATGGGGGTGTGCGAGTATACCCACATATATTGTACGAGTACGCATATTCCACACAAATATGTTCATTGTCTGGCACTGCGGCAGACTTTCTTGCTCCATTAATTATTAAATAAATTAATTTGTGTTGGCAAATTAATTTAAATGTTTGGTCACCTCCTCCTCCTCGTCAGCTCCTCATCCTAGGCGGCATGTGCTTGCGCAGACCTACCTCTTGAGCCCTTCCCCACTCACAGCATTTATTATTTATGCACACATCGTTTGCAGCGAGACAAACAACAAATTAATTGGCCAAAAGACCCAACCTGGCCAGATATTTTGTCCGAGCAGGCCAAATATGATGATTAAATGGTCATTCGACCTCAAGTCGGCCACAACAAGTGGCAAGCCGTCATTATTCTCTCTCTTTGAATGCCTCTTCGCCAGTGGGGAGGCACATGCCTCATGCACATGTCTGGGGCAGAGTAATGAAAAATCTCAAGTGGGTGCTTCGCGTTTTGCTTAATTAAAAATGAGCAGCTCCCTGATATCCGCCCTCACATACTTGCAGCACAACTGTATGGGTATAGGGACAAAACGGAGAACACACAGATACAGATACAGATGCAGATGCAGATACTGATATACAGATGGAGGAAGCGAAGGAAAGCGGAACAGTTAGCAAGCGCCAGGGGGCTAAGGTTAGGACGAGGGCGGGAGAAAGTTTTAATTAGACAGCAGCACGTAAAAGTCAACTGAAGGCAAATTGCAATTCCACTTGCACTCGCCAGCCAAATGCAAATTAAAGCAAACAGTGCCAGAAGAGCTACCAACAAAGAGCAGCAAAAGTTCGCAGAGAAACTTAAATATTTGTTCAAACTTTTGGCCACTTTTTTGTGGAATTACTTGTCAATGAAAATTATTAAGAATATTGCGAACGGAAAAACTGTTCGAAAGTATTTCCTATCATTAAAATTTGTTTTTTAATCTTACCCTTAATGACCCCATTTATTTTGTAATGAAATTTCGGAGAAAACGCTCATGTATTTTTCACATGCCTTTTTAGAACGAAAAAATGATTTCAATAGCCCGGAATAGAATCCGAAATCAAAGAAAAAAATTTGAAAACAACGTGAAACATTTCTGTGGAACTTGGGATACTTTTGCCATGAATTTGTGAGCAATTTCAAGTGAAAAAATATTCAAGTGATTTTCAGTTGAATCAAACATGGAAAAAATGTTTCCAAAAATTTGTTGGCTTTGTTTGATTTAGTGCTGGTTGGGAGTATATAAAGCAAACGTCTCTCTAGCCCCCAGCCAGATTTGGCCTTGGCCAGTTATTCCCTTTGCAGAAGGTTTTCCCCAGTAAAATTAATGTAATGTATATTTTGGTTTTTTACTTTATTCCCAAAGAAAGAATCTGTCCATTCGCCTCTGTCCCCTCACACAAATCCCCTTGTAACGAGGCGCTTTTGGCACAGGGAATGGGGCTGGGACAGGCACTGGGACAGCGGCTGCCGTTTATATTGCTTATCAAATTTGTTGATTTGCTGCCGCAGTTACCGCCTAAGCCGCAAATAATGCGCAACCAGCACCCGGCCCGTCCACTGCCCCATCCCCTGTCGTGGCTATTAACAAGTAGCACACAAAGGCGACTTATCAACACTACAGCAGCGCACAAAAGTAGGCAACGCTTTTTCTCAATGCTTGGGGTGCTTTTATTTATATGCCCCAAGGCGTGTTGGAGACCCACTTGATAGCTCTGTGCTTGCCTCAGTGTGTGTGCTTTAGTGTTGGACAAGTTTTCCACTTGAACACTTTTTGTTGTGGATTTCTCTTTTTACATGTTTTGAGGCATTTGTGGGATTAATGAGCATCAATCCACAATACAAAACAAATTAAAGGGATGCCCATGCCCATGCCCATGTCCATTTCCACATCAGACCCACATTGGCAATCAGTTAAGGTTGAGTGCATGTAAGCCACTTGTCGGGGCGAGGGATAGGGCTGGAGGGAAGGGAAGAGAAGAGAAGGGGAAAAAGAAACGATTCTCTCCATTTCCTGGCCAGTTTTCGTTGATGGCTTTGAAAGCTTTTAACCCAAGCCTACGACACACATCTGCAGATTATCAGTGGGCCTTGGTTGAGGCAGGGGAGGCAGGGGAAACGGACTTGCTGCAATTTGCGGCCACTTTGCTACTCTGCTAGAACATCTTCCTTCCTCGCTCACTCTTCATATCTTCTCCCTTGTAGATACTCGCCACTTACGCCACCCACATATATACCATTCGCGGTGGACGGTGTGCAGCTGATCGATGACGGCAACGAATGCAATGAATCCTCGTGTCGCGTGGAGCTTAATTTATTGGGCATCAAATCGTCCGGAGTCTACAGGTGCGAAGTGTCCGGCGATGCGCCCCACTTCCAGTTAACTGCACGCGATGCCAACATGAGCGTAGAGGGTAAGTGGAAGTTGATTCGAGGATTCCAGCACTTGCTGACTAATGAAATGCTGTTTCAATTGTTAGTCTTAAATTAAGGACTGACTCACCTACATACGAGGACGAGGACGAGTACGAGTACGAGTACGTGGGAGTGTATGATGTAAATATTTTACGCCGCAGGCTTACTCTTCGTTACCATTACCTCGTTGCCATTCCCATTCCCATTCCGGGCACACGTTCAGGGCTGCCACTGCCACTACAGGCACTGCCTTTGCTCTGCATTGCATAAGCAGAGTAAAATGTGTAATTTCCGTGATATTTTAATAGTAAACAACACGGGAAGAAAACTGCAAGGAACATGCAGAGCAGGGGCCGTTTGCATATATGACGAGCTGGCAAAGTGGCTGCCACTGCGGGGGGAGTGCACACGCACAGGATAAGCTGCAAGGCAACCAGGCAGCCAGGCAGGCAGGCAGGCAGGCAGGCAGGATGTGCTCGCGAAAGGAACAGCGAGCGTTCATAAAATGTAACCAAGAGATGCATGTGATTCGCATCCGCACAGCGAGCATACTCCCACTCAGATACACGCCCGCCTCGACATGGACACGGACACAGCGCACAGGAACCTACGGCTCCTTCCACTGCTCGTGTGTGTGTGTCTGTGCGGCTCTGTGATTTACGGCAGCACTTTATGCTTAAAAAGGATATCGCTAAAATGAAAAGCTCCGCCACTGCCACCGCCTCCGCCTCCTGCCGGCTCTGGCTCCTCATCAGGCGACTCCGCCAGGGCCCACCCGCCTGGCTCACTTCTGCTACTGCTACTGCTCCTGCTCCTGTCCCTGCCCCTGCTGCATGTGCGTGTTGCCTTCCTCTCTGTTCTGCTTTATTTTATTCTCGCTTTTACTTTTCCCTCGCACAACCTCGTGGAACAACCCACAGCCATACACAAACATGCAGGATGCTTCTCTGCATGTGTTTTATGATCATCTATTTTTCCGCTGATATAGAATAAATATCTTGTAGATGGGGGGCAGCAGAGCACTGCCTCTGTGTTGCTCCCGCGTCTGCTTCAGGCTCTGCTGCTCCACTGTTGCTAAAATATTTTTAAAAATTTATCAAAAGCAAATAGAGAAGTTTCGCAACACAAACACAGCCAAACAGCGAGAACAAGAACGACGGCAGCAACAAAGGTGCGCCATTTGCATGTGTAATGTGCGTTTAAAATTAGCTAAGGAAATAACTGCGATGCAGTCAGCCAGAGAAGAAATCATCTGTCCTCCATTCACTCTGTGCGATGGGAATACGTTTACTTAAAGTTGTAGCTGAAGTAATGGATCTTTTGCGACTAGATTGAAGAGGCACTTTCCTGAATACATAACCAGACTGAAGAGCTACTTATGCAACATCTAAATATTGAATATCCATATGTTGGTTCATGCTCCTCCTTTTCCTTTCAATTCGAACATGAACCTGATAACAACGCCTTGAAATCCTCACCTCACTCCTAACCCTGCATCGTTTAAGCTTTTCTCCCTTCCCAATGAAATATCTGGAATAAATAAAACTAAAATCGCAAAGCCTTCTCTTTCATTTTGTGCCACTTCAGTAGTTCGAAATCCCCTACCTTTGCCTCTGCCCCTTACCGTTGAGAAAATCCATTTTTGAAAAGCACAGATCCCATAACCCCCTTGCTGTCGAAAAATCTCCAATCCTTTTCACAAGGTTAGCTCTTGAAAGGAGAAAACAAGAGCTATGCTTGTCAGTCGCAAAGGTTTGGATAGCTTCAGTTTCGGGAAACAATAAGTAGGCCAAGGATACCATAAGCATATCAGACTTCTTAGATGATTTAGAGGGCATTACACTCTTCACAAGATTTATATTATTTAATATTAATATATAAATGTTCTCCCTTGCAGCTCTTCCTCAGAACAATCCCCTTATCAGCAGCTTTCACTCCATGTACCGCTTCGACGACTTTGTTCAGGTGAATTGCAGTACGGACTTCTCCAGCCTATTCACGCGGATCGCATGGTACATCAATGGAGTGAAGGTATGGACCACTCATCCATCTATGATTACATATGCTTTAACCAAGTCTGTTTCTTCAAAATTAAATAGGTTTCGCTGGTGGATCTCCTGCCCAGCATTGAGACCACGATTGCCGCCCACGATTACAATCTGCGGCGCATCGTGTCCCAGCTGAACTTCTACGCCAACGAGCCGCGCTTCCACCAGGCACAGCTGCAACAGCTGATGCTGCAGCGTCAGCAACAGCCGCAGCAGAAGCGCACCATCTCCCCGGCCCGCCTCGGCCTCGAGCTGCGATGTGTGGCCGAGATCGACAGGTATCCGCAGCTGCAGCGAGAGGCGAGCATGTACGCGCAGCTCTTCCGGGATGACATCGACCTGAAGAACCAAAAGCTGATCAACTCGAGATCGGGTGGGTGGCCCTTCCAGTCCTCCTCCCCCTCTGTGGGCGACCTCTCTTAATGCACTCGACCGCAATTGCAGTGGCCGCTAATTAAAAATAAATATATTTTTAACGGACTGACATGCGGACAGACATATTTGGACAATTTTCAACACAAATTAATACAATTTCTCTCTCTCTCTCTCTCTCTGTCTCTTTCGCTCTGTGTTGCAGTTGCCACTCGTGGTGGACACAGCATACAATTGCAGCAGCTGCTGCTCCTGGTGATGGCGTCTGCGGCTGCAGCAACCGCAGCGCGACTCTTGACGCCACTGACATTTCAATATGGCGCACGGAAGTCGGCGCGCTACAAAATGGCGTCGACGAGTGCGTGTGCGTGTGCGAGTGCGAGTAGAATCCCCTGCTGGCCGTAGTGCGGAATGGACTTTCTGTTATTTTCCGGTTTTTGTTGCGTTTGTTTCAACCATTTTATAGCTCTAAGCAACTGAAATGCACGTGAGAATTTACAAAAAACAAAAGGCAAACCTATGTAATTTGTATGTATAATTGTAATAAATGTCACTGAGTAACAAAAAATAATTACATGAAGTGGGGAGACCTGTAACTTAAGCCAAGGCAAGCGAACCCTGTAAATAGCCTCTAAGTATGCAATGGTATTGTAAGAACAAACGAAACATCATCAATAAACATGCAACCAAACAAATGATTTCGTCTGTTTTTTTGTAAGCACATTTCCAGGCACGCCCACGATTTCCACACGCCCGCCCATGCATCCTTTCAGACAACCGCAAAAGTGCTGTTAAATATGTTGTTGGGTTCCAATTTTTTCGGATTGTTTTTTCTTTTGTTGTTTCATTTGAATTTCGTATATTTTTTTGTTTGGAGTGAGTACATGCCTCTCGTGCCTCGGGGCCCGGCAGCTATGTGTGTGCCACACCCATACATCGCCATCGCCATTGCCTTGCCATTTCCCTGGCCTGCTCTGGCATCGCCCCGGCCTGAATCGTTCGTCTCGTTTTCATTTCGTTTTTAAATCGAATTCAATGAATTCAATTGCAATTCCCCTTTGCATACGCAAGTTTGTGGCTGTGAAAATGGCAGCCGACAACAAGTGTAGGGGCCGTGTCAGGACGCCGCCCGCCTGTGTGGCACCCAGTATCCAAGCCTCCTCATCCAGGCATCCGCAACACTCGACAGCAAAGTTGAGCTTCTTGGGCGTAGTCCTTGTACTACCTGTATTTAGGAAAGCCTGCTGCTGTATGTGTTGTCGGATTCAATTATTCGTACAGGTCGAACAACACCAATCTCAAAACTCAGTAGTATTTTATTGGTATAGCACAGCCACAGCCAATAGATTTTGTTCACAAAACGCTTAAAAGCTAACTTTTTATGGTCCTCAATTTCATGTCTCATAGTGTTGATAGAAGATACCCCGACACCATCTCGCATTGCATATCATTTACGTCCCTTGACGCACTGAGATTGATTTCTGTTTGCCTGGAAAAAATCGAACAATAAACCATCCACCCATCCTCTCAATCCCTGGGCAGCCCCTCTTCTGGCTTATCTTATTATTTTTCAGTTTTCATTTTCCGTTTTGATGCATTATTGGGCCCTATTTTTGTAGAAATGGCATTTAATGCTGAGAATATAAAACAGTGGTCACTGAGATATGTCCATACATAAGTAAATCGGAAAGTGATGATTGAGACTGTGCATCAGAAATTATCCAAACAATCGACCAAGATAGATAAGATCATTTTCCATAGCTCAGTGATATTACCATTTTTGTTTTTGCGCTATCACATTAATCATTGATCAACGAATAGAATACCTTGGTGGAATCTGGCTAAAGTCATTCTGAAACCCTCTTTCAGTGGTCAGCTAACTTATTTACCTGCAAACAGAATGGAGAAGTATCTCGGGATTGAGTCGTCCATCAGTAGACTGGTGAAAACGTTAGGCTCCCACACTCTGTCATATAAAAATTAAGGATCAAAGTTGCGGGGGGTGGGGGTGGGGCAGGAAGAAGTAGAAGTGCCCCGCAGCACCGACAAAAACAACAACAACAACAGTAAAAAGGCTATTAAGCGATAATTTATTTGTAATCTGCGACGTGGACCGACGGTTGCGCTCTCCGTCAAGTTCGCCTTCTGCCTCTTGCTATCCTCCTGTTGTCCTCCTGGCATCCTCTTGGCATCCTCCTAGATGCTGCTGCATCAGCAGGGTGGTGGGCTGGAGAAATGAAGGGTTGAAAAGAGAGCGAGTGCGAGTGCAGCGGCGAGGAAAGGATTCCGCTGCCCGGCTCGTGGGGCAATAAAACAGCAGGAGCAGAAGGCCAGTTCCTGCAAATATTTAAAGGCGCTAAGATGGGGCCAGTCATCAGTAGGTGGACCTGGACCTGGCACTCCGGGGGGCCATTCGAGAAAAACTCTTTCTGGACTTTAAGGGGAGCCCTTCCAGGAAATGATTCGGCCTGCCGCTTAAATAGCAACAAATGCCAATTACAATTGCTTTAATGGGTAAATGAAACGGACGGACGGGAAGAGGGCAGACAAGTGGACAGTGGAGCAGTGGACAGAGTGCACTTGCTGCTCCAGAAGACCGCAAGGATTAAGTAATTTCTGCCAGACATGCAGCAGCCGCAATCGCCAAATGAACACAAAAACTTTGCCCCAGCATTGGGGGCAGACCAAGACAGAGGCAGAGAGACACAAGCGAGCCCAGAGATAGAAAGAGGGAGGGCGAGGGAGAGAGAGCTAAGCAGGCAGGGAGATGGGCAGGGACTGTGGCACTCTAATGCACTCGTGTGTGCAATAAATTGGCATATCCTTGCGCATACACACACACACACAAACACATACAGATGCAGAGAGAGATACTCGCACACAGATACACACAATAGCAATGAGTTTTGCGTGTGCCGAGTCTGGTGTATTATGCACAGGATGCGCATAAGAATGAAAATCCTTTTGCACTTAATGGCAACACGGAAAAAGGCAGCAAAAGCAAAAGCAAAAGCAAAAGCAGAGGCAGCAGCAGTCTGCCCCCGGTCCATCCGTGTCCCATTCCCCGTTGCCAACTACTCGTCTCTGTCTCTCAGAGTTTCTCTCTCTCTGTGCACTCTCTTTCTCCCATTCCTTCTGCTTGGGTAATATTATTTTGTGCAAAATTTCTTATTTTACCGTGGAAACTCATAAAATTTGCTGCTGCTCTTTGTGAACTCAATGAACTCCTGGCGTCCGGCTAGCGAGTGTCCAACGAGCTGCATCTCCTCCTGCTTAACCACTTTGAAGGCCATTAATTTGCAATGACCGTGGCGGGGCGGGTGCACCGAGAGGACCGTTGCCGAGTGCCAGCACATCCTGGCTGGCTTCTTGTCTAGCTTGGTCCACTTTACGAGCATTTCAGCGCCGCTCTACTTTGCACATTTATTGTTTTTAATGCATTTATGCCAGCTTTATGCCAAAAAAAAAAACAGTAGCCTATGGAGCACGTATGCTCTGGCCAGGGATCAAGCGGAATGGCTTGGCACGAAATGAAAATTGAGCGTCTTAAAGACGAACGCATCCGTCGGGGCATCGGCATCACCGTGCAAGACATATGGCCATTATTTATTCAAGCCGCACAGAAGCATCGATGTCAGAGAAGAGGGAGAAGAAAAATAGGTGCCTTCTAGCTCTAGCCCTCTAGCTGCCTGGTGCTGATGCTGATGCCGAGATTGCATACAATTTGCTTTGGCAGCACATTTCTCTAGCGAGTGCAGCTAATGAACCATTCCAAGGGAGAATGATGTGTAACAGAGTGTCCTCGTAATCGGGCATCGGGCATCGTGCATCGAGAATTCCATCTACATCTAAAGCTCCTCAAACACAACAGGACAAGGGGTCCAAAACATTAAGTACCCTTGCAGATGGATCGTTTCTATGTTAGGTGGAATACCAGTATACAACTTAAGTACAACCTATTTTTAATGCACTAGTCGTACCATCTGATCAATATTTGACTTACAGTAGTGTGAAAAATAGTATGGACACTTGACCATGTTTTATTAAATGACTATTTTCAGTAATTTTCAAGTGATCTTGATTAAAGTAAAGGTAAAAAACCTATGTAAAATAATAACAACTTTTTTGGGTTATGAAAACATTTTATATTTTGTAAAAACAACGTTTTTCTAAGTGTCTTTTTAGTTGTTTTTTTTTTAGATATATCCTATAGATATAGTACACAAATGCTATTATTTTGTACACCACTGTATGTACATACAAAAATAGATTTATTTCTTTTATTTATTTTATAATAAATATTTCACCTATGGCTTACATTTTCCTTTATGTGAAATTTGCAACGTCTTTCTTTTTTCGACAACACTTCCCAGTATTCCCTAGAATAGCATATTCTTGCCACAGAGACATGGCTACAGGACTGGAACATCGTGGTCAATGATGAGCAATTAAAGCACCTAACCTTACGAATGATACCATACTAGGTCTATTAGACTGTTCTTTATGGAGTCTAAAATACCAACTTCCCAAGAAGAAGTGGTTGGTCCTTTGATCAGAAATAGACGGAAACTAACTCCAGCAAATTGCTGTAAATACCTGCTTGTTGTTAAAGTTCAACTGCAACTCCTGCTCGAAACTCGAGCCAGAGAACTCGAGCCCGCTGAAATGAAACGGAAAGTGTTCTGGCAGGAACAACAGCAATGATGATTATAGCCGGTGCTGCGCCAACTGAGGGGAGGGAGCCAAAGCGAGGTGATACCAAAGTGGGAAAGCATTTACTTGAATTGACTTTATTCGCTTTACTTTCAGCTGTTGTTGTGGCTGCTGTCCGGACTGGTCCTAGTCCTGGCAATCAGGCGCAACGACTTCCGGCAGGACAACAGCGCTGGCGACGCCTGGCAACCTGGCAACCGCAATTGAAATGTTTTCATGGCAGCAACTAAAAATTGTCATCGGGATTGCCATTACCTGCGGCCAAGTTGGCTTCGGCTTCGGCCACGCTTTATTAAAGATGCTGCACTGCTGCATTCACCCAGCTAAGCCCACATCCTGAATCAGAACCAGAACCCACATAGAGCCCTTCCATAAAGTCGCCCATGGCCGTAGGCAATTGGCATTGGGGCTTAATTAAGTTTGAGCCCCGGTCCTCCATCTCCTACTGGTCACTGGTACCCATCCTCCAGTGCCTGCAATCAGCGTAGTCAGTTGCAGGCGCCAAGGAAAACCAAATCCCTTTATCCACAGAAAATGGCGTGAAAAAAATGCAATTAGTATTTCGCTCAGCCCACGCCATGCCACGCCATGCCACGCCCATGGCCCGTGGTCCGTGGTCCGTGCCCCATGTCCATTTCAAGGACTCGCATTTAATTGCGAAATGCGGTAAATTAAATCATTTTCACTAGTGCGTCTTAAAGTCCTTTAAAGGAAATCCTGCTAATGGCAGCCAAAAGGTTCGCCCGACAAACCACAACGGACCAGAGACCCAGAGCCAGAGCCAGCGCCAGAAGCCAAAAGGAAATGCATAAGAGAGTAACCAACGAGCAGAAAGAGAGCAGGCCAAAAGAGACGTGTGAGAAAGAGAGGGCGCGAATGGTAAAAGATTTGTAGACTGCATTTTTAATTACACTAAAAGCAACTGAGCAGCAAAGTGAATGCCTGTTCCTTTGGTTTCCATCTCGCAT